CGGCAAGTCTGTTTTTGCAAAGAGTGAACTAAGTAGTGCTTAAGAGGACTTAAATCCTACTTCTGACACTTTTTTGAGTACAGTCTCTGTTTGAGTATCTTATCCGTGCATGATCATTTCGTGGGACATCATATCCCCAGTCAGTTCGACCAGAAACAGAAGCAGATGAGGTCATGGTTTTCAAGGGTGTATTGTAGGAACAATATAGACACAGGACAAGAGAAACAGAATCAGTTTACACAACAGGGAAAAGCACAGGAAGAAAAACACAAGCCATCTCGAGCACACCCCGACCCGGAAACACCCTACCGCACGTACATTTTTAGAGTGTAACAGGCGCGTCGCAGCAGTGTACAGGTACAGCTCAACGTTGGCACTCTACCCTGCTTTCTATGCGTTTTTAAGCTCCACGCTCGGCAACGGCCTAAAGACATCGAGATCATGGCGGGTGCGATTCGGCGCGACGGCAGCAGCATGCTCTCGGATGTCTCGCAGGGGTGCCCGAAGCGTCGGCTAGCCGCCATGCCCGGGTGGCGCGGCGCTGGGTCTCGGTCGGCCGGCCGACTTCTCAGTGGGCAAAAGTGGGCCGCGCTCGGCAGCGGCGGCTTATAGGTGTTTCCGACTCCGTCCTGCCGTCGTGCGGCCGTGCGTGTACTCAGTCAAAATTTCACATAACACAAATCGAAAGGGTCGCACTGGATGAGATGCCACCTAGCGGCCGCGTCTAGCTGGCGTAGGCGGACTCCCAGTCGGCGGAGGCGAGCAACGTCGGCCCCCAGAACTGTGCGCCGCCACGTGCAGAAGAATTCGGGGATAGGCCCAGAGGCCAACGCCTTCTCGTCGGCGAATGCCTGCTGGTGCAGTGGAGTCCCGACACGGACGTTGTTCGGCCGCAGCGCGTACCTCATTGGCCCGGGGCGACTACGACGTCCAGTGGAAACTCGCTAGCTGGATCGCTAGGTCCAATGAACGACCGAAGGTCTGGTATGCACGCTGGCTGCGGGAGGTCCGCCATCACGCTCATCTTCTTATCGTCGGCCACGTAGCACGCATTGCTCGTCCTGAAGCCGTAGACCTCAACGTCTTCTGCGAAGGCACACTTCTCACGGCTCGAGGTGACGCCGTGTTCTTCGCATCGCTACCGAGTGTCCCACACGTGCTGCGGGTGACACGAGTAGCTCGTGTCGTAGGCGATAATGTTGTCCACGACCCTACAGATCTGCGGGTTGTCTCCGAGGGCAGCGTCACCCCACTGGTTGTCTCGCTGTCCATCTCCGAGGGCTACGCCATCTCGCTGGTTGCAGTGGTCGCCGGACTAGATCAGACCCATGACTGCACGCCTGTAGCGGAATCAACCCCAGGGCGAAATGGAGTAGGTCTCGTCTTGGTCTTCTTCGCGGATGGGAATCTGGTGGCACCCTGACTTGCTGCCAAGCTTCGCGAAGACTATCGCGCCTGTACCGATGGACACGACCGCATCGCGCGGCCACCTGACCGGGCACGCCGGTCTCCTGACGAAGCGGTCGAGCTTGGTGAGCTCCACCGTCAGACGACAGCCCGAGACAGTGGCGTCTGTCGACCGCTTGGTCACTGATACCGTGGCGTGGACCTGTCGGGGCTATCGTAGTGCGGTGCGTGCGCGGGCGGCTGCTCGGCTGCCGCCGGCGTTCTGCGCCAAATTTATCACGAGAAGCCCACTGGCCAGCACACGAGCCGGATAATGACAAGCGCATGACTTGGCACGTATGGACTACAGTACATCCGACATCAGCGCCCATGCCACAGAGCTAGGATGAAGTGGTTGACCGGTGTATTGGCGGGCTGGTAGGTCCGGTCAGGCACCATGAACGGCTGTCTTCCCGTAAATGGTTGTGCACCATTAACCACAGTATCCTACCTCCCCACCGTTCAGCTGATTATATCTAACTGGCGGAAAACGGAACAAGATGTATTGAGCAAAATTAGCTGTCTGAATCCTCGTAGACGTATGCCCAAACTGATAGGGATCCCACGCGACCGACGACTTACATTGGCAAGGGCCCAGTGGATATCAACTCTGGGAGCCCCATCGCCCTTAAAGAGCATGTCTCACATTGGAGTACATTGAAGCAAGCATCCGATATGAATAAACAAGCTCACTTATAATTGTTGGTATACTTTTAGGAGCAAATACTGCTCAAGACAACACAATTGCTCTATTTAGTAACCCCGCAGGGGCACCGGCTTCGGTCGGTGTAGGGGACTAGCGCCCCCTCTGGCCCCAGCTCCGGTAACGGGCGGACAGCGCAAGCTGCTCCCCTCAGGGCGTAGCGACCCTGCCGGTACGTGAGCTCCTGCTCCTTGTTCCGCCCGCTCCCTCCACATTACCCGCACTCCCGCATCCCGCCCTATCACCACTCCTCATCCTCGTTTTATCGGGGTCACTGTGCCCACTCGCCCACGCCCCCGGGTTGATCAGATCCTGGTGGCTGAGGGTCGTGTCGTGCGGGCCAGTCACGGCGCGTGCCAATACTCCACTTTGGCCAGGATATCCGGGGGCGTGGGGGGGGGGGGGGCCGTGAGGTTCCACATGGGTCTAGCGGCTTGTCGCTCGCGTTGCGGTTGGGTGCTCCTTGCGGGTTTCCGCTTGGGGCGCCTGGCCGCGCGCAACGGCTTAAGGGGTCAAGGGGCAGCGGCGCTGAACCACGGTCAGGACGGGGAGGGGTCTCCCCGGTTACACCTGGCCGTCGTTCGCCCCGTATAGCACCGGGGTAGCCCTGACGACACTACCACCACCTGGGTGAGTGGGCCGTCCCCAAGTTGGGCTCCAAGGTGGATGAGGAGCCCCGGTGCCGAAATTATCAATTAAAACTGTATGGCATCTACAAATCCCCAAAACACCCGCCCCATCTTTGCTGCAGGAACTGTGGGCTCGTGTTTGCACCCTCGCTACGGTGGAAGAGTGCTTGGGCGATCTCGTTAGCCACATCCAACGAATGAGTCGCCACCTGGCCGTTAACATGTAGCACAGGAGGTGGCACAGATGACAACTGCCCAGAGATGCGTTTGATCCGAGCCCAAACGTGCGAAGTTGGCGTGAACCGGTTAACTGTACTTACATATACACGCCAGGATTCACGTTTCGCTTCTTTTATCGTGCGACGGGCGAAAGCTCTCGCCTTCTTAAAAGCTACTAAATTCTCCATGCTACTTCTGGCGTCAAAAGCTCGGAAAGCGCGTTTGCGAGCGCGAATCGCGTCACGACACTTCCCTGTCCACCACGGCACAGGAGTGCGACGGGGAACTCCAGAAGTGCGCGGAATGTAATCGCTAGCGCAATCTAGAAGTCGGTGAGCAAAATCCTCAATAGAGGGTGCCGCCCACTCACCTCCGGTTTGACACAATGTCTCCAGTCGAGCCTCAGACTCACTTCAGTCAGCCTTTTTTAAATTCCAACATTCCAAACAACTCTTTTCGTTCTCAAAAGATATTGGTTTTCAAGTCATTTTCACGCCATATTAATTAAGTAAAAGCATCGTTATGGGCGCAAAATGACCATTGCAGTCGACGCGCCCGAAGACACCAATGAACAACGAGTTCTATTTAGTAAACATGTTCTTCAATACATCATCGCTTCATTGAGTGATCGCACCTAAGCGGCCGCCCGACTCGATAATCCGTCATGAGGGGGTCAGTCAGCCCGCGTTGCGATGTGCCGTGAGGGATCTTATCAAACAGAAGAGCGCCCTCGGCCGGACCTAATGTCTGGGTGCTGTGCGATAGTCCGACAGAGGTGCCATCATACAGGCACCGTCCCATTCATCGAGCACAGCTATAGATATTTTCATCGTCGCCGTTGTCGTAGTCTTCGTCAATCTCACCATCACTGTGTCAATGTTTGTATTGCTTCATCAATATCGGGTTGTCGTCATGAACGTCGCAAGCATCATCATCGTCACCAAAAAGTCCTCGCCGTCCTCGCTATCGACATTATGCCATTATCATCGTTATCGATTTTAACGTCGACTCGTCGTCCAACACCTAAACACTATAACGCCATCGTCAGAGTCGGCTGCGGAATGGGTCAGGTTTTTATTGAGTCATGGCAGAATCGCTTCCTCTAAAATGCCGACCGAATTGAGTTCAGCTAGTGAGCAAAGACATTCACATGAGCGGTCCGATGCTTGCGACACATGAAACACTAGTTGTGTCGCATTATGATCACCTCATGTGTTTGGAGCAGGCTTCCGTGGTCACGTAAAATTGAAATCCGCTCCAAGCTGTGCTGTGCCGACCGGGGCCACAGTCGGACTGACCGCGACTCCCCTGCGGGTCGCGGTCGTGTTCGATACCGGGACAGCGTGACCATGCTGGACCTCGCTGGACTGCACCATTTCCATGCGAGTGTTGCGATCCGAATCCAGAGGCATAATCGGCCCACGACTTCACGTAACTATACGCAAGAGGTCTCCACACGGGAGTACTTGCCATTAGTACCGACGCCACACGTCCTCGCTTTCAGCGCTTTATTGGCAAATCACCATCCCCTACCTCCGCCTCGAGGCTAGCACGCAGAAGCTGAGCGTAATGAATATATTCAAGTGACGATGACGTAAAACCGGCGCAACCGGATCGATTCGGGTGATCTCCCAACGGGTTAGCCTACTTGACGGCGCCTGGCCGGCTGCAGGGCGTGCGTGACGCCCCAGTGTACTCCCGCCCCGAGCAGCCCTAGCGGACAGGGCATCCCCACAGCCACGGCACGTCTGAGATCACTGAAGGCCAGTCAACAGCGCCCGGTTCGGGACCCTCATGCAGTCGCGCTGGCAGCGAGACAGTCAGCAAATGATCACGGCACTGACCAGGAGGCCTGCATAGCAAGCACGAGCGATATTCTAACCGCGGCGCGCACCGACCCACAGCAGGCGCGAGGGCAGAACAGCTGCCGTAGTGATCTTCTAACCGCGGCGCGCACCGACCCACAGCAGGCGCGAGGGCAGAACAGCTGCCGTAGTGATCTTCTAACCGCGGCGCGCACCGACCCGCAGCAGGCGCGAGGGCAGAACAGCTGCCGCACACAACGCAGCCACGAGGATTTTGACAGCACTGAGTGCGCAGCTCACAGCCCGAGGCCAAGGCGCAACGTGAACTGGCCAAGCCAGTGCGGCTGAACTCTATACACAGCGAACGACGGGAGCAGCCGCGCGCCGGTGACGGCGTCCATCCCGTCTTCACCACGGGCGGAAGACGGTGGAGCCCGACCGCACCGGCCCCAAGCGGCGCGCAGCCGACACTGCAGTGGAAGCCCTCAACAACCCATCCTCCCACGCTACTTATACAGTAAGTACACCCGACACCTGGCGCGCCGGGGCCGGAGGAGCCGCCCGCGCCCAACCGGGGCCGCAACATCGAGCCGATCGGCCCGGCAGCGTGCCTCCGCGGCGGCGGCGCCGCTCAGTTGCGGATGCCGCGCCGCGGCCGCGCCGCCGCGCCCGACACGACCGTCTGCACAATGTGCGGCAGCTGCTGCATGGCGCGCTTGAGGCGCGCCGGCAGCGGGTCGTATTTGGAGTAGAGCCGCAGCCGACCGTCGGGCTCGCGCAGCTGCACGGCGCCCGAGCGCGGCTCGATCGTCAGTCCCGTGCCGTCGTCACACGCCAGCTGGATCCGGCCGTCCGCCAGCTGCCGCACACACAGAGCACGCGCAGGTCAGGCGAGGGTCGGGTCAGTGCCGGCTGACAGCCAGCAACGACGTCTACGCATGGGAGCCAAGCGTCTGCATTCTGGCATAGTTGTACATCTGCAACTCAGCGAACATTTCGGCTTCTTCAAAGCTAAAATTAAATATAAGTTTGTGAGAGAGAGAATTGCTGGAAAACAAGAAAACAAGAGCATAATTGCTCCCATAGCTAGGCGGATAGATACTTGACCGACACCGTTAAATGCAATGACACCCAATTGAACGCATGGAACTATCGCTTTGACTAATTACGGGATACGTTCACAGACAACAAACCGATTAGTGGACATAAAAAACAGCTCTGCTCCGGATCTGGCACACGGATCCGGTGCACGCCACAGCGTCCGACATCTGCTGGTCGGCCCCTCATCGCCGCACCTGAGTGGCCGTGCCCACGCCAGCGAAGTGGGCGCGTCGCATCGTCTTGCCGCCGGCTGGCGCCGAGACGGCCGTGCGCGTGCTCACCACGGAGCCTTCGAACGAGCGCATCTGGAGCAGAAGTAGCGGCCGTGATAGACGGGCACGACAGACACCAGGTGGCGGCAGGATGGGACTGCACTCCGGTGACAGACCAGCAATCGCAGCTGTACATGGACTGCGTGGCGAGCGACCGACCACAAATGTCTCGACGACGCCATTGGTACCGAACCTCCGACACCGATACTGCCGCTTGCCCGAACCGGTCCAAGCAAGCAACCTATGCAGGCGGACCACGTTGCACAGTTCGAACCGCATGTTCCGGTTCTCCCGCCTAACTAGCCGCCAGTGATGTCGGCGCGCAGCGTTCACGTGCGATCGGCCCGCCCGACACCCGCCTCCCCCATGACCGGCGCCGCAGACAGGACCCAAACTACCGTCCCAGCTGTCGAGCCCCTGTCCGGCCGAGCGCCGAGCGTCGCTCACCTGGCTGGCGGCGGCCGCGTTGGGACTGCGGTTCTCCTGGTCGAGGCCGGGCGAGGCGGGCCGCTCGGCCGGCGCCGGCCGCCGACCGATGACCACCGGGAAACAGCCGAGCGGTGCGCCCGACTCCAGCCGCTCCAGCGTCGCCTCCATCTGCTCGCAGTGGTGCAGGCACTGCCGGCCCACGGACGAGCGCTGTTAGGGCGGTGGAAAGGGGGGGAGGGGGATCACACTCCACCGCCGCCTCCATCTCCTCACAGTCGCGCACAGCGGTGTGGGCGAGGCGTCGACGCAGCACCACACGTAGACGGGTGGAGTACAACTGGGGCAGGGCACAGGACGGCGGAAAGCGCGGCGCTGAAGTCCCGATCATCCCCGTCACGAACAGGGCGCACTGGCACGAAAGCCAGCCGGTGACGCGACGCCAAGTGGGGTCATGCGGTGTGACGAGGCTGGAGCCCAGTACGCGCTCGATGGCAGCAGCAGCGTCGCCACCGGCAGCGGCAGCGTCGCCACCGGCAGCAGCAGCGTCGTCGCCGGCAGCAGCAGCACGGGCCATCGGAATCGGTGGCGATCTCGAGGCGTGGGGGACGGGGCGCACGGCGCAGACCATCAGCGGGGCACAACGGCTCAATTCACGGGGCGCGTGCAGCGGCCGCCGCTGAGCACCGGTCCGAGCTGGCGAGTCCGTCAGCCGGCGGCCGGTCGGCCAGACCATCCCCAGACACTGGGCGAGCACGCACCTGCTGGAAGTGTTCCCAGAGGAGGCGGCCCGGCTCGGAGAGACACTGCTGACCGCCGACGCTCTCCAGCGTGTAGGGCTTGCGGCCGGGCTCGTGCAGCACCACGCCCTCGGACGACTTGACCACCCGGCAGCCTGCCGACGGCCGGCGGCTCGAGGGGTGAGGGGCACAACCATGCTGACCAGTTGGGCTCCCAGGTGCTACGCGTGTCCGACTTCTCAGGACTATCGTTAGATGTCAGCAACATGTAGAGCAATAATACGTACATGGCCGTGGTACGATCGCTAGCATAGCATCACAGTAGTGGAGGCAGCAACACAAATATCTTACTTATGCCATGCTTTCTTATCATAGTATGAAACAAAAATAAAATGACTCCATGTCACCTGCAACATCCCTGACACATGCTCGCGCATCAGCACCCTAATTTCACAATGCCCCAATCCTACACACGTGGGAAAGAAAGCCCGTCGTGTCCGCACTTCGATCGCACCCACCCAAAGATTGACCTCGTCGGTCGTCGCAGCGGCGTACGGCCGCCGCTGCTCGCTGCCGTGCCGGCGCGTCGCGACTCACCGTCGTAGAAGCAGACCTCGAAGTCGGGGGCCGGTCCGTTCTCCATCAGCACACACTTGGCTCGATCCGTGTACAGCGTCAGCTTGGGCGTCTTCGCCTTCACCAGCTTCACAAACCTGCCGGCCAGCCGACAAGGACTGTGAGCACGAAGCAGTGCAGCCGGCCCGAATACGGGGTGCGTAGTGCCGGCTCCCGGCGCCACGGGCTTTCAAGTCCAGTTTGTGCACGGTGTTTCTCAGGCAGGCGCGGTGCGGTCGCGTCACATAAGCAGGCGAGCGGCGCGAGCCAATTTTGCCGCTCATGACCTCGAACACCGACCGAGGCCTTCCCGGCCGAGCGGCTCACGAACAGGCCGGACGCGTCGCGCATGACGCAGGACATGCGTCGCTGTTGGAAGGTGAATGGAGCGATTCTTAGCACAGATAAGGAACCAAGCGACGAAGCGTCTGAGGCAAAACGTCCTAAAATTATACTTATTGACTCTATCGAGCGCAAACGGTCAAGACCGTCTTGAGACACGCCACTCACCGCGCGGCATAGATGTACTTTTTCCAGTGTTTCTCTGGCAGCGTGTTGTAGCTGTAGAAGGCGTCAGCACCCGAGCGGGGCATGGGCGGCGGCTCGGAGACCACGGGCACAGCACCACCGTCCGGCTGGTACACCGCTATCTGGAGCGGCGGCCGGCACGACCAGTCAGCGCACACTCACACCCCAGATAGGTCACAGTCAGGTGAGCCCAGGTCACGTCAGGGCGCCGTCACGACGGCGAACAGCTGCACAGCTCTAATATACTGCTATGCGTACTGATGGCTACAGTACAGATCACAACTAACATGTGAAATATGCAGGCTGTGTGTGTGATGTGTGCTGGTGCGCTGATACGTGTACGTGTGCTCTACAAGACGAGGTCTGCTGGACATACATAGTTTCAGAACACGGAAAACCTGGGTCACGGGACAAATAACTATAGATTCACGCAGCAGTCGTCGCAAAATGGCGAAAGGTGAGACATTAAATCGTTTTTACGCCCAACACTCGTCATTTCCCGCAACTCAAAACAGGTCTCAAACCAGCGCGCACCACTCCCCGAGCACGCAGCGCCGGAGCAGCGACCCCGGTGGTCAGCGCCACGGCCAGCGTGGCCAGCGGCGGTCCGCGGGCGCCCCACGCGTGACTGGCAGCCGGACGTACCCGCATGCCGTCTCTAGTGATGCGACACACGTCAGCCACCGCCTCGCGGCCCTGCCGGCGGCGCACGAACTCCAGGCACACCTCGCCATCCTCGGAGAGCGTCACCACGGCGTTCTTGGTCTTCTGGCGTGTGGGCTTGAGGCGGCGCGTGGTGAGCGGCGAGGTAGGCGGCGGCGCACCGTCCGCGGCCGCAGCGACGCCAGCAGACGGCGGCTGCGGCGCGGGGGCGTGTCAGCTACGGGCGGCGCGGCAGGAGGCGGACGGTGGACAGGGGGCCGCACGGCTGAAGATGGACAGCGGGCGGAGGCCACACGGCCGGTGGACAGGGGACCGCACGGCCGGAGACGGGCGGTGGACAGGGAGTTTGCGGACGAAGACGGACGGTGGACAGGGGGCCACACGGCCGGAGACGGACTGTGGACTGGGTAGTCACGGTCCACGTGCGTCCAGTGCGGCATTCGCTGAGAAAGGACCCAAGGGGTAAGGGAGCAAGATAATTTATCTTTACAAGTTTCCACCACCATGAGTTTCCATAAGGCCCGTCTCCGGTTTACTTTGTTTTAGATGCATCTTGAGTATGACACCATCACGAATGACGACACACGATAATGTTACATCGGTCGACGAAGCATTATTGACTGCAGCGCGGGCGTAACGAGGGTCGCGAACGCGGGCAACGGCGGTCACAAGCTACCAGCCACGAACACCAACCCTACTCAGGACTGCACGACAGAAATCAGCGATACAGGAGAGCACATTTTTGACGCCAGACCTATTGACTGCAACATGGTGCCTGGCCCAGGTGGCACATGTGGCGCCGGACTCGGCACAGCCGATGGGCCATGTGACACCGAGCTCGGCACAGCCGATGGGCCATGCGACACCGAGCTCGGCACAGCCGTTGGGCCATGTCACACCGAGCTCGGCACAGCCGGTGACGCCAACGGTCTCACCTGAATGCCCTGCAGCACGTCGGTGGCGCGGTGCCCTGCCGAGCGGCCGGAGCGGCCGGAACGGCCCGAGCGGCAGGAGCACTCTTCGGCCGGCCAGCGCTCGCACCAGCTGCGGTGGCCGGCCTCACCCTGGCAGCAGGAGCGACCGCGGACGGGCGAGCCCAGCCGTGCCGGCTCCGGCGGCGCAGATGGAGGAGGCGGAGGAGGCGGCGGCGGCGGCGGCGGCGGCGGCGGCGGCGGCTCGGGGCCGGGCGCCAGCGGCCGCGGCGGCAGCGGCTCGAACCGGCGGCGCAGCTGCGCCATACCGGACGGCGGCGGCGCGGCGCACCTGAGGCGCGCGGGCCGGCAGGTCAGCAGCGCCGCGCGCGGACGCCGTGCGATGCGGTGACAATGTATCGCAACATTAGCGCCAGGGCGCTGAGTAAGTGCCGGTGTTGGATCACTCGGGCCCCACTTCTCACGTGTGTCAGGCTAGCATCTGATGGGGGAATAGCTTCATCGATGGATAGCAGAAAGGACGCGACGTTAAATCCTGACGAAGCAAATCGATGGTAGCACTGTCAACATCAATGTATTGCTTCGGACGTCTAATAGGACGATATCTATAGGTGCCACGACGTATACAACCGTATAAACTCGTGAAACCTGCATCACAGGCAACGTCCACGCAGCAGACAGCTCTTCCCCCCCCCCCCCCCCCCCAAGAGGGAACTCAAGCAGGCGAACTGTGACGAGGCCCACCCCTGTCCAGAGGGCAGGTGTCACCGACCTGCCGGGCTCCGGCTGCTGCTGTTGCTGCTGACGGCGCGCCAGGCCGCGGTCCAGGCTCTGCACGCGGGGCGGCCGGCGCGCCCGGACCGCCACTGCCGCCGGCGCCGACGCCGTCGCCGGGTCGGCTGAGCAGGTGGTGGTCGACGACGTGAGGATCGTGCCCACTCCGCTGTCGGCCGCCGACCACTGCCGCACACGCACAGCGGCAGGGTCACAGGCGGGCACGACACGGCGCGACGATGAGCCAAGGAATTGGTCCGTACGCGTGCACACAGCTCGTGCGGTGATAACGTTAGGCTCCCTACCCCCTAGCAACGGTTTCTGGTGGCCCTGATGCGAACTAAGCGCCAATAAAATTAATGCATCATCTATTCGCCTGGTGATGAAAGCACGAAAATGTAGCATGGTTGTTAAACCTGAGTCGTCCTCGGATACATGAACGGAAACAATATATTTCATTTACGGTGCAACGCTAATTTTTCTACGATTAAACCATGTATTGCCGGTGGAGACACACACCCTTTCTCAGAGAAGTCTAGAAATGTAATGGAATTTAGCCAGGAGTGCCGCCGCGCCCATGCCATAGGAAGGGTGCTGGCTGCGTACGCTCTTGCTGCCGGTCGTCCGGTTGCGTGTCATGAAGGGGTGCTGCAGCACGGCCGTCAGCGGCAGCCGCTCCGACGGGTTCTTCTTCAGCAGGCCCGTGATGAGACCGGTCGCCTCCGGGCTGATCTGGGCCGGGATCTGCGACGGCCGCCCCGAAGGGTTACACTCAGAAGATACCGTCGACTGATTTAAGCACGTCACAAATGGTTTGTGAGGCCTATTAGCGTTACGCAGTTTGAAGAAAAGGCGTCGAAATCGACACAGCGTCGAAGAATGACCATGACTGGACATCATTACCAGCTACCACCCTCAGTATAACCATGCCGTCAGACATGACCCTGCTGAGAGTGCTGTACCCCACGCCTCGCTCTGCTGACCTTGACGTCGGACATGACGACCTTGGTGAGCGTGCTGCGGACGCCATCCGTGTCGAAGGGCGGCCGGCCCACCAGCATGGTGTAGAGCATGCAGCCCAGCGCCCACACGTCCGCCTCCATGCCGTGCCAGCTGCGTGTGGCCACCTGACGGACGGCGACGGAAACGGGTTACAGTGAGCCGGCCGGAGTCTGTCACGGCAGGACGGGCTACACCGGAGCGGTCGTGTCACGGCAGGACGGGCTACAACGGAACAGTCGTGTCACGGCAGGACGGGCTACATCGGAGCTGTCTCGTCACGGCAGGACGGACAGCACCGGAACAGTCGTGTCACGGCAGGACGGGCTACATCGGAGCTGTCTCGTCACGGCAGGACGGACAGCACCGGAACAGTCGTGTCACGGCAGGACGGGCTACATCGGAGCTGTCTCGTCACGGCAGGACGGACAGCACCGGAACAGTCGTGTCACGGCAGGACGGGCTACATCGGAGCTGTCTCGTCACGGCAGGACGGACAGCACCGGGACAGTCGTGTCACGGCAGGACGGGCTACATCGGAGCTGTCTCGTCACGGCAGGACGGACAGCACCGGAACAGTCGTGTCACGGCAGGACGGGCTACATCGGAGCTGTCTCGTCACGGCAGGACGGACAGCACCGGAACAGTCGTGTCACGGCTGAACTGGCGTTTCCATCGTTTCGGCGTTACCTAGTACGCAGAACGACTGAGTCATGAATGGCTTAATATCTGTCAGCAGCAGCAGAAAACAACATGACAAATGAACCGGTTATCAAAGAAAGATAACGATTCCATATCCCGCGGTGCATGGGACGATTCTACATCGGGGGAAGGTCGTGGCGATACAATGCCTGGAAGTCAGACAATCAAAGCCGTGGTGAGTTCCTCCTGAGCCCGTTCACAGTACAGATGACCGCTGGCGCCGCCCCCGTTACCTCGGGCGAGATGTAGTTGGGCGTGCCGCACATGGTCTTGTGCCGCTCCTCCAGCGAGCTTAGCTGGGTCGCTAGACCAAAGTCGGCTATCTTCTGCAACAGCGGAGAGTCCACGTAGCTTGGTCACGTGCCAACGGCGGCAGCAGCGAACCACAGAACGACTCATCGGTCCTCCCAAGCAGTGGCCTTCAACATTAGCACACCAAATCGGAGGTAGTCATGCGTACCGCTTGCAAAACCCAGCGCAAGCCAAATTCAAAAGAACAGCGGGACGTTTATGCAGTCCCGTTCTCCGGCGCACTGCATCAGCCGTCAAGCTGTGAGTTGTTGGCGTGCCTGCTGCCAGACGGACAACCAGCGGAGCCAGCGGAGGCTGCCAGACGGACCACTAGCGGAGCCAACGGAGGCTGCCAGACGGACCACCAGCGGAGTCAGCGGAGGCTGTCAGACGGACCGCCAGCGGAGGCTGCCAGACGGACCACTAGCGGAGCCAGCGGAGGCTGCCAGACGGACCGCCAGCAGGGCCAGCGGAGGCTGCCGCCTGCAGCCGGGCCCTGCCACTGACCGTGTGGTATCGGTCGTCCAGCAGCAGGTTGGACAGCGACAGGTCGCGGTGCAGGATCTTGTTGGAATGCAGGTACAGCATGCCCTCCACGATCTGGCGCACGTATTCGCGCGCTGTCGACAGCACGGTCGCCAGCATCAGTCGGCAGTGAGAAGACATGGCCGACGCGGGACACACGCCGTGTGATGGCCCTCCTGCAGGCGGGCCACCACACTGACCCGCCTACAGGTTGGATACTGCATCCACACAGGGTCGAATGCTGCATTCACACAGGGTCGAATGCTGCATCCACACAGGGTCGAATGCTGCATCAACACGGAGTCGAATACTGCATCCACATACAGTTGAATGCTACATCCCTGCAGAGTCAGATGCTCCACCCACACAGCGTCGGATGCTGCATCCACACAGAGTCGGATGCTGCATCCAAACAGGGTCAGATGCTGCATCCACACAGGATCGAATGCTACATCCCCACGGGGTCGAATGCTGCATCCACACGGGGTCGGATGCTGCATCCAGCGCAGCACACAGACTCATCAGAACATTCTGCTAAGCCTTACACTACAGTGAATCCTGGTTAAAGCTGCCATGTGTCAGACTGAAAATCTGGCAGTGTGAAACAAAGTGGCGCTTACTGTCGGTGAACATGGCACTATGGAATCCTGTACTCCACTCCTATGAAAGTGCTTCACCATTCATAGACAGCTTGCACACCAAGACTGAAAAGTTGTACTCCCCAACCAGGAAACAAGTGGCATATACACTTAACTACACAGTCGTTGCAGATTTCGCACAACAGGCAGGGAGCGCTTAGGTACACCTCTGTAACCCAATGCAAAGCTCAGTCTGGTTTGAGGCACGAGGCCGTAGCGTACGCCCACATCTGTCGGCCCCCCATGAGACCACGCCCAGCCGTCTCGAGGGGCGCAGCAGGAACGGGGGCCTGGCTGCTGTGGTACGGTTGTACTCGGCGGCCGCAGGCAGCAGCGGACCGACGCTTCAGACCGTACGGCCGCGACATCCAGTGGTCACACTCACAAACACTGGGCCAGAGACGGAAGGCGGTGCGGGAAGACGTGATGACGAGTTTGTGGCTTCACGAGCTTATCTGCCACAAAACGCACAGACTTGGGAGAAATGACGTGCGCACTACAGTGACATTGTGTGATCGCAGAGCGTTAGTGTGCACTTACACTATTGCCATCACTTACAATGTGCATTGCCATTTTGTTCAGACGTTGCTACCCAGCCAACTAGAAAGTCCTGTAGCCATGCAAAAGATCACATCTCCTCCCCCCCCCCCCCCCCCCTCTCACTATGCCGGGTCCGGCGACATACCCTCGTCCTCTACGAGCGCGCCCTTGTTGCGCACGTGCTTGCCCAGCTCTCCATTCACACAGAGCTCCAGCACCAAGTAGACGGCCTCGTCGTCCTCGAAGAAGGTGTAGAGCTCCAGGATGCTGGGGTGCTTCAGCCGCGAGTGGATCCGCACCTCCTGGCGCACGCGCTCCACCATGCCGTTGGCCTTCATCAGCTGCTTGTCGATCTGGGGCAGCCAGGACCCACGTCAGCACCCAGAGCCTCACGACCCCAATGGCAACACAACCTGCCATGTGCAGTGACACTTTAAGGGAAAAGCCATGGCTGACAACTTGAAAAGGCCACACATGATTCTACATTGGGGCCTTGCACATGTTTTTTGGTGGCAGGTGTAGTTATTTTCCAATTCTGTGACCATCTTAACAAATGCCTGCTGCCCCATCTCCAGGAGAGCAAGAATGACCCCTTTGATCAATGGTTGGTTCCAAAGGTATAAAACTCAGGTCATGCCCAGTGCCCAACCATCACAGTGTATAACTGCTCCATGATGTCCTAGTGTGGTGCAAAACTTGTGGGGAGAAGTCAAGATAAGCTTCTGGGGCCTGGCTGGTGTGAAAATATTATTAGAGGAATACTAATCAACCCACCACATAGGCAAAGTGGATTGTGGTATCAGATCACATGGACATTGCCAGCCAAATTAACTAAGCATCCATGATGAATCATGAATGTGCATTGAAAACTAGAGCTAAAAATATATTCAAGAAACCTCACTCACCATCTTGATAGCAACATCTCTGCCCGACCACTTGCATCTTGCTTGGTAGACACAAGCAAATCCTCCCTTGCCTATTGGATTGAGCACATCATAAGCCTGGAAAAGAAAACACATGCGTACCTCTTACACTAGAGGCTACTTAACACAAAACCTCAGGGGTGATTGCCAATCTTATTATAGATAAGTGCATCACTTACAATGCATAAGCTGAATTTTCCTGACCAGTTAAAATACATTCATGTTCACTCCAAAATAACTCTGCTATAGACCTTAGCTAATATAATATGAACACTAGCATATGACAATACTGCACAAACCTCATTTTGAAAACAGGACTCTCACCACCAAAATACCACAAACATACAAGTCATAAGTACCACATCTCTTACTTTTCATTGTTCCATCCTCTTTGTTATAAAATGAAGCATTGCACATTGTTCAGCCATGAGACATTGCATTCTCTGCCCTCAAAATACTGTTATCAGGTACCTAATATGATTTTAACTGCTTGATTAATCAGAACTTCTTGACATATCAGAATAAAAACTGCATCAACCATAATTTACACTGTTTACATATCATGATTATCTTAAAGAATAACCAGCACACAGACTAGCAGTTTTGAACTGCTCAATGGTGACACAACACAAATACTGCATCCTGGACAAAATAAGAACACATGATATGCATAGCATGCACACTCTTTTGATGAGTCTGAGAATAGTCAATGCTACCTGATTGGATATTTTAAGAACAAGTTTTCCAAGGCATTAAAAGCCTGAAATGCAACTAAAATCAGGACTTAGGGGACACTGGCCTAACTGTGTCAGAGTTGTCTTGATAGCTGCCATATCATCATGCCCAGCTATGGCTGCTCATGCAGTACTCCTGCAGCCAGATATCTGCCAATTCAAATGAAGCTCTCAGAGAAAAATGTTGCCCAAGAGCAAAACATGTGATGCAGGATTAGGCCTGCCCAAAGAGCTTATCAACTGATATGCCACCTCTTGGGCTTTTTTTTACTTGGGTACCTGTATTGCCGACGGTGGGGAGAGAGCTACGCTGGCTGCAGGGTTCCCGTACTGCCATGATGGAGAAATGCTGTTAGGTATCAGCCGACGTAGTGACGTCACTGAAAATGGGTTTGCATCGGTCTGGGTTCTTTTGGGCCGACTGAAGGCTACAAGGCATTTGCTAGCGATATGATGTCACTGGTATTCGACTGGATATGTGACGTCACTGGTTGTGAGGCTTTAGGGCTCTTTTGGGTGCAATGAATGCCGTAAAGCATCACCTGACGATATGTCGTCGCTGGTATTCAATGAAACATCAGGCGCAACGGGCCTTATTCCATCTTTACCTTTCGTACCTGTCTGCTGCAAGCATTTGCGTGCCGAATAAAAGCTTGACCGAATCACCTGAATGTGTGACGTCACCAATCATCACTTGATACGAGTGCACTTAGGCCCCACGGCCGCGGTGTATCATGTTCCGTGAAATATCGCTGGGTATCGTGACGTCAGTGATATTCGACTAAATATTGGTCGCAACAGGTCAAGGTTCATTTTTAGCTTCGTACCTGTCTACTGCAAGCACTGGCGTGATGAATAAAAGCTACCAAATCACGTGAGTGTGTGACGTCACTGGTCATGCATTTTTATGGATCTTTGGGGGCCAACTGAGGGCCGTAAAGCATAGCCTAATGATGTGACGTCACTGGCATTCGACTGTGTGTGATGTCACTTGTGATCAGATTTTACGGCCTCTTTTGGGCCGATGAAAGGTCATACTACATTAACTGAAGATGTGCCGTCACTGGTATCCGAATACAATTCAGGCGGCCATGGCCATGCCCCATCTTTGCCTTTGGTACCTGTCCATTGCAAGTATTTGAATGCTGAAGGAAGGGTCTGCCGAATTACCTGAGTGTGTAACGTCACTAACCATTAATTTGTATAGACTGTTTTGAACCTACTGTAAGCCATACCACATCAGCTGACCATATGACGTCACCGGTTTTCGTCTAGGTGTCATGCGCAACAGGCCATGCTCTATCTTTGCCTTTCGTACCTGTTTACTGCAAGCATTCGCGTGCTATATCAAGGTGATGCTGAACCATCTGAGTGCGTGACGTCACTGGTCATGAGTTTATACAGGTTCACTTGGGCAGCCCAATGCAATTAAGCATCATATCCTGTAAAGCATCGCGGGATGATATGACGTCACTGGTATTCGACTCAACATCAGGCGCAACAGGCCATGTTCCATCTTTACCTTTCGTACCTGTCTACTGCAAGCATTCGCGTGTTATATCACGTCATTGGTTAAGAGTTCTTACGGGCTCTTTTCAACCCCCTATATGGTATAATGCTTCAGTTGACGATATGATGTCACTGGTGTTCGACTTAGCATCAGGCACAACATGTCATGTTCCATCTTTGCCTTTCGCACCTGTTTAAGTATTGGCGAGCCTAATGATGGCTCTGCCGAATCACCTGAGCATGTGGTGTAACTGGTCATGAGTTTACACGGGCTTACTCGGGCTGACTGAAGGACATCAAGCATCACCTGACCATATGACGTCACTGATATTTGGGCTGTGGCCCAAACTTATGGCCGCTGGGCGGCGCCCTTGATTATTATTTAGCCATCAGGGCATTCCGGACCGTAGCTGCTCAGGGGCGCATCCTGTGATGTCGGGCGGAATAGCGTTGCATATACGTCGGTTTGTGGGCTGGGATCACCTTTCTTTGGGTTTACGTTTGTTCAAAATTTTAGTCGTTGAAACAGCCCGTTGCGTTTGAAGTTGTTACTTAATGGTGCGCACAATAAAATTAGTGTGCTTAACTATGGTGCATCTCCCACCTCTGCTGCGGAACTCCGTAGCCGTAGGTGGCCAAGTGACCTCCTACCAACTGATGATCAGTGACGTCACATACTCAGGTGATTCGGCGGAGCCTTCATATAGCACGCGAATATTTGCAGCAGCCAGGTACGAAAGGCAAATATGGAGCATGACCTGTTGCGCCTGATGTTTAGTCGAGCACCAGTAACGTCATGTCGTCAGCTGATGCATGATAACCTAAAATGGGTTCAAAGGAGCCCGTAAAAAACTCGTGACCAGTGACGTCACACACTCAGGAGGTTCGACGGAGCCTTCATTCAGCACGTCAATACCTTTAATAAACAAGTACAAAAGGTAAAGAAAGTACGTGGCATGTTGGACCTGATGTTAAGTCGAATAACAGTGACGACAATCATCCTGTGATGCTTCACGGGAGGTGTTGCTTTGTGGCCTTGGGCGGCCCAAGTGAATCCGTATGAACTCACGACCAGCGACGTCACCCACTCAGATGATTCGTCTGGAGTTTAGTCGATTACCAGTGACGTCATATCGTCAGCTGATGCTTGATGTCCGTCAGTCAGCCCGAGTAAACCTGCACAAACTCATGGCCAGTTACACCACACGCTCAGGCGAATCGACAGAGCCTTTTTGTAGCGCACGAATACTTGCAGTAGGCAGGTGCGAAAGGTAAAGATGAAACATGGCTTATTGCAACTGATGTTAATTCGAATACAAGTGACGCCATAACGTTATCTGATGCCTAATGACCTGAACTCGGCCAAAAAAGGCCCGTAAAAGCTCATGACCAGTGACGTCACACACTCAGTGGATTACCAGTGACGTCATTTCGTTAGCTGATGCCTTATGGCTTTCGCTCAGCCAAAAATAGTTGGTAAAAATTCATGACCAGTGACGTCGCACACTCAGGTGACTCGGCAGAGCCATCATTTAACGCACCAATACTTTACAGGTACGAAAGGCAAAGATGGAACATGACCTGTTACGCCTCATGTTAAGTCGAACACCATTGACATCATGTCGTCAACTGATGCATGTTTCCTTATAGAGGGTTCCAAGGAGCCAGAAAAAACTCATGACCAGTAACGTTACACACCCAGGAGACTCGACAGAGCCTTCATTCAGCACGTCAATACTTGTAATAGGCGGGTACGAAAGGTAAAGATAGAACATGGCCTGTCGCGCCTGATGTTAAGTCGGACACCAGTGACGTCATATCATCAGCTGATGCATTATACCGTTTGGGGGTACAAAAGGTCCCGTAAAAAGCTCTTGACCAGTGACGTTACTTACTCAGGAGACTCGACAGAGCCTTCATTCAGCACGCCCATACTTCCAAGAGACAGGTACGAAAGGTAAAGATGGAACATGGCCTGTCGCGCCTGGAGTTTAGTCGAATACCAGTGACGTCATATCGTCAGCTGATGCTTGATGTCCTTCAGTCAGCCAGAGTAAACCCGCGTTAACTCATAACTAGTTACACCACACGCTAAGGTAATTCGGCAGAGCCCCTGTGTCGCGCGAATACTTGCAGTAGATAGGTGCGAAAGGTACAGACGAAACATGGCTTAGATGGAGCATGGCCTGTTGCGCATGATGTCTAGTCGAAACCCAGTGACATCATATCGTCAGCTGATGCCTTGTGGCCCATAGTAGGCTCAAAAGAGTGTGCAAGTTAATGGTCAGTGACGTACACACTCAGGTAATTTGGCAGAGCCTTCCACGGCAATGCTTGAATGGACAGGTACCAAAGATAAAGGTGGAACATGGTCTGTCGCGCCCGAAGTTCATTCGAATACCAGTGACGTCACATCTTCAGTCATTGCCGTATGACCTTTCGTCGCCCCAAAAGAGGCCGTAAAACCTCATGACCAGCGACACGCACAGTCGAGTGCCAGCGACGTCACATCGTTAGCTGATGCTTTATGGTCTTCAGTTGGCCGCACAAAAAATCCGCCAATACTTGCAGCAGACATGTACGAAAGGTATAAATGGAGCATGACCTGTTGCCTGATGTTCAGCCAAATACCAGTGACGTCATATCGCCAGCTGATGCCTAACGGCATTTCGTCGGTCCTATAGGGCCCGTGGAAACCCACGGCCATTGACGTCTTACAGTCGTATAGCAGTGACGTCGTTAGCTGACACCTTGTGGTCTTCAGTTGGCCGAAAAGCACCGTTGGAACTCATGGCCAGTGATGTCACACACTCAGGTGGTTCGGCAGCTTTCATCCAGCACGCCAATGCTTGCAGTAGACAAGTACAAAGGTAAAAATGAAGCACGGCCTGTTGCGCCCAGTTTTTATTCGAATACCAGTGACGTCACGCTATCCGGTGATACTTCGCGGACCACGACACACCGTGGTCGTGGGGCCTAAGTGCACTCGTATGAAGTGATGATTAGGGACGTCACACATTGGGGTAATTCGGTCAAACCTTTATGCGGCACGCAAATGCCTGCAGCAGACAGGTACGAAAAGTAAAGATGGAACGAGGCCGGCCGCGCCTGATGTTCAATCGAATACCAGTGACGACACATGGCCAGCTGATGCATTACGGCATTCAGTGGACCCAAAAGAGCCTTACACACTCACGACCAGTGACGTCACATACCCAGCCGAATACCAGTGACATCATATCACAAGCAAAAGCCTTATGGCCTTCAGTCGGCCCGAAAGAACCCCGATCCCGATCGATGCAAAACCATTTTCAGTGACGTCACAATGTTAGCTGATGCCTCACAGCTTTTGCCCCGCACGACAATACTCGAAACCCTGCAGCTAGCGTAGCTCTTCCCTCCGTCGGCCATACAGGTACCCAAGTAAAAAATTACCACCTCTTGCAGGCTGGCCTAAATACATAGCTCAACTTTCTTCATCCTTGTCCCAATGAGATCCTGTAAGGAAACAGGACAAGTGGAAAACTTACCTCAATACTTTCTCCATAGCATGAGTGAGCCATTGCAACAAGGCCTGAGTCAAATCATGGAAACATGGGTCAAGGAAAGGAAACAAGGCAGGACTTTGGAATTGAGCTGCAATTTTGGTTGCACATTGTCGCACCGATCACGCCACACCCGTACTTTAGCGCATCAGGCCATGAGGCAATAAAGCTGCTGAAATAGAAACCGCTTGACGTTACCATCCAACGTCAAAAGATGGCTTAATCATACTATAGTGCAATATGGACAAAAACAAGCTTCGAAAACCGCCTGTCGTACGCTATCGTCTTCGTCCCGGATGCGTCACTTTTCAAAATGCGCAGCTGTACGTTGAAAAGGAATGATTGTGGTAAATCGATTTTTTGGATTCACGTGTTGACATCCTTGACACTTCTTTCGATATTTCTTAGTTTCAAAGAACGAATACGCTGTTCCATAGCCCGATAGATTATTATTTTTTATAATAAACGATGGCTTGGTCTTAAAACCAAAAGTTGCTATAGCTGCACGAACCGCCCCGAACCAACTCAAGGACCAGCAGCGGCTAAGAATCCGAGGTGCAAGCCAGACACCAAATGGAGCAAATGTATGATGCTGGCAGGGGTGTGGTTTTGTAAAGCGTATTAGGGCAGAAGTGGATAGAGCTGGACCATGAGCAACTCACCAAACCTAACCGGAAAATTCACCAGTAGGTGGGTTTTTCCGCGGATTTGGCCCATTTTTCTCTCAAAGCAGGGGGGGGGGGACGTAGCCCACGTTGGGAGGGGGGGGGGGGGGGGGGTGGGGGGATGAAGGTCCTTCGCCTAAATAGAAAACTGCACTCCTGGAAGCTGACGCACTTGCATGCATGCCACGTATTCATGGGATAAGGAGTAGCCCATAGGATATGAAGACGAATGTCTGTATAAATACTCACGGACGGAACCTCGCCACTGGGCTTATTTGTGCTTTGGTGGAATATCAAAAGTGTATGACGAAAACGTGAAATTAGGCCCAGCTATTCGTGACAGCGTCTTTTTTCAATAGGACCTTTTCCGAAACCGGCCTCCAGTGCAACGCGCCGCGGCACAAGCATCAAGAGATCCGGCCACGCAAACTATGTAGGCGCATTCACCCAGTCAGCATATCAAAATGCGGTCCACATGCAGCCTAGACAGCTTGGCCGTAGTCATGGCCGTACATAGCTTGGGCTATGATGGGCCATTTCAAAGGCTTCAACTCGGACCCATGTGGGTGGCCCATGTTTTCACGTGTTTCACAACGTCCGTCAATCTAGCAGCAGATTGATTTCCAGTTGCCAGTTGGATATTCCGGGGCATCACGATCGCCCCCAAATTTGGTGTGCATAACCTTCTCGACACGCTGATTCCGAAAATCACCGTCTTTGAGGCGGAATTTTGCGTAATTTCCGAGTTATACGACGCGTAACATCGTAATGTGACATTGCGGGGCGTCTCGCTTGCCTCCAAATTTGGTGTGCAGGGCCATTTCAACACGCTGATTCCAAAAATCATTGCCTTTGGGGTGGGATTTTGCGTAACTTCCGAGCTATACGACGCGTAACACCCCAGTTTGATATTGCGGGGCGTCTCGATTGTCTCCAAATTTGGTGGGCAGGGCCTTCTCAACACGCTAATTCCGAAAATCAATGTCTTTGGGGTGGGATTTTTGCGTAATTTCCGAGATATACGGCACGTGACACCCCAGTTGTGTTTTGGAATGTGTCCTGGAATTCGCCTTTGGGCCTGTCCGTATCAGTTCACAGCAGAAGGTCAGTTTGCGAGATGTCAGGGATAACCGTGTGGTATGTGATATCACTGGCATGGTGGTATGGCCCAGTGGCATCTTTCTCAGGTTTGTTTCGTTTCTGACCTTTCAGGTGGTGGAATAATAGTCCGACATAGTCACTGCCATTGTTTGTCCTGACCAAAAACTGACATGGTGTCGCTTGTGACCAAACCAATCGTGCCTCACCGCTGGGGCCTGAAGATTTGGGTTATGTCACCGTCTGTCTTATCACCCAAGGACGCTGGTGACGCTGGTGGAGCAGCGTATGCTACTTGTGCACGCCATGTCCATGTTGTTGGCTGGCCGGCCACATCAGCCTGCTGCTGCTGACCGCGGTGGAGACGCTGCACTACGCGAGCCGGCCGGACGGCGGTGGCGACACACCGGTGGTCAGCGGGCTCGAACAGCTGATAGCCGGCTGTATGCCGAAGCATGAGACGGCACACGGCGTGCGGCGCCGGGCGCTGATTGCCAACGACCCTGTCCTTACCCAGGTGCTGACGGCAACCAGCCTCGTCCCCACGCGTCACTGATGGATTTTGTTGCCTGCATCCCGCACTGTTTCACGCAGAGGATCAGGGTGCGGATGGAAACGAACTGGGACTGCGTCCACGTACCGTTGATGATTCTCTTCCTCCGTGAAGCGACGTTTTTACTGGCATTGCCTGTCGCGTGTTCGTATTCCTGTGATGGCCGTCATGCGAGATGACTGGCTGGCTAGCGGCTAAGGTGTGTGGCAGTATCAGCGTGCTGCGGTGTATCAAATTTTCACAGGAGCACGGCGTGTGTGACGCCAAGAATAACAAGAATCATAAGTGCGAAAGAAGCAGGTGATGGTAGCCTTGATAATGGCGTTTTAGAACTGATTTATTGTGAGGTCCGATGTGCCTAGCTGATGTTCAGGCATTGTGTCGTATGTTAATTTTCATATGCCAAAACTGTAAAAAAGTCAAACTTTTCTAGGGTGTTGTTTGTAGCGTAAAATACACTTCGCATGTGAACAAATTGCAAAGAATCAAAATTTTAACTTGATTCAAATCCCAAAGTAGTCGACTTTTTGCGGACCCACAGATACGCCTTAGCACTGTCATACGAATCAAAAGTAGCGGCAGCGAGAACGATCACTTCGCATTTGTGTAATGGTGAGATAATTTCTCCTGACCAGACGTTTTTCCGGGAGCGATTGTCCAAAGTCCAATCGAAAGCACGAGGACGGATCAGCTGTCAGTCCAACAGTGTCCAAAAATCAGACTGCCCCGTAAAATTCCATGTATAAAAATATCGTTGCTCGTTACAACCAATACCTTCACATTCGTTCAACCCACAGTACTGCACTTCCTCATCCTTAACGAATTTTAAAAAGAAAGCAGCCTGCTCGTGGCCAAGTACGGAGAATCACGTACTTTGGCAACATGAGTACCCTGCTGCTTCACTGCCAATAAAGTAGCAATATAAAACTGCCACATTCTACGCCATTTTAATCCAAAGGTACGCAAAAATTCTACCACAATGCCAATGCTTTTCGGAATCAGCGTGTTGAGGAGGCCCTCCACACTAAGTCTGGAGGAAACGAGACGCCCCGCAATATCCAACTAGGGTGTTACGCGTCGTATAACTCGGAAGTTACGCAAAATCCCACCCCAAAGATAGTGATTTTCGGAATTAGCGTGTTGAAAAGGCCCTGCAAATCAAATCTAGAGGTAATCGAGACGCCTCGCAATATCCAACTGGGGCGTTACGTTTCGTGTAACTCGGAAGTTACGCAACATCCCGCCCAAAAGACAATGATTTTCGGAATAAGCGTGTTGAGAAGGCCCTGCACACCAAATTTGGAGGTAATTGAGACGCCCCGCAATACCGCTGAGGTATAAAGGTTAGAAATGTCCACCAGCCAGTCTCAGCTCTTGTCTCTCTTTGCCGTAGTAAACACCGTTCGATATTCAAATGTTCGTATTCACTGTCTTAGCACACACAATTACGTCTCGTCACACAATCGCTGTCTCTCCACCCCCTGTCTTTCCCGTCTCAGCTCGCCAACACAAGAACGAAATGTCCCCACCGCTCGACAGTTCGCAGCGCAGCACCCCCCGTCAGCTCTCTCTCACCACTGTCGCCGGGCGTGGCATGGCGCCGCCGCGCCGGGCGTCCCCCCGCCCAAATTACCCGGTTTATAGGCAGCCGAGGATAATTCGAATTAAGATCGGAACGGATCATGCGACGTTTACCCGGTTTACATGGGCAGCCGAGGATAATTCGAATTAAGATCGGAACGGATCATGCGACGTTAACCCTCTCGGCTTCACATTTCGGGCATGGACAAACCTGCAGCAGCTCGTCTCTACGGGAATATGTACCAATCTCCACTTGGGCAGGGGTTATTTGAACCTGCACCCTCAAATGTAATGCGCCGTGGCCAAACATCGAGATGAGGCTGCGGAAACTTATTTAAGCGTGCAGCCCAGTTGGTTGCGACCATTGTTGGATGTAAAGCCCATAGATCTTACCATCCGTATGCACTTCTAAACAAAGCAGTTCGCCAGGAAGCAGAATGAAATACCGGTTGGCTCATCACTAATATATTAAACGAAGGATGTGCACGGTGCGAGACTAAACAAACAAAAGCTCTGTGACATGAGATCAGATTGCTACAACTAGCTATGAAGTACACGTACGCACGATAATACTAAAGCCTTCTTACATCTATGAGCATTCGAACCAAAGGCCGATTAGCAAATATAGTTGCAAGCGACAAATTCGACGGCCGCTGATGGTAACGGAAAATGCTAGAAGAAAATGTCTATGAAAATAGTTATAGAGGTAGAGAGCTTAACGTCATTCAAAAAAAGAAATGCGACAAGACACACATGGGCAAAACATAGCGAACATACGGCGCAGAACATCGCTAAATTTCATGACCTTGATTGTCTTCACACAAGCACACGGTTGTTCAGGTCACAAAAAGTAGGGTACAAACATCTCTCCGACAGGAGCAGGGAGCAAGACCATTATTCCGACGCGGTTAAGATTGGCGATCAAGCGCATGTTATGTTTACAAACGCAGCAATGTTCAAGAACAGCTAGTTCGCCAAACCAAAATTCCGAACCCAGTCATCAAGAACTTAACACTCAAAAACAATTCATCTTCAAGAAACAAACAGCAAACGACGTGGGGATGCAACTCTGATCTTGGACGGAAGACGAAGATTCTATAAGCGTTATCCATCACCGCATACCTACACACCATTTGCAGTGAACATTGCTTAATCAGGCTCAATTTTCCTCATAATGGTCGGCTGTAGAGCCCGCTTTCTTGCACAGAGCGTTCTCCACACAAGGCAGACACAAACTGATCGACTCAGATTTCTCTATGCGTTTCACCAGACACCGTATGCTGGCGAATGTCCAGTGACTACCCCGTGGTGGAGTGGGAGGCCGGCGGCGGAGTACAGCGGCGCTCTGGGCCCAGGCTTCAGCGACGATGCCAGCAGCCACGCATGTTGAGCGCATTCAGACGACACGTCAGAGCTCGAACAGCAGTCCGTAAAGCCGAACGCGCAGCACCATACATAAATCACAAACCAGGCTTCGCCACGCCCCGCTCACCGGCGACTTCGGTGAAGGCCGCGGGGGCGGCACAGCCACCAGTCCTGCCCATGCACAGCTTCAAGCACGGATCACAGTCACAGGTGCAGACACATCACAGAGGCTGGCAGCACGACACTCGCCAGGGACTCCCAGCGCGGCACTGTCGTCCAGCATCTCGGTGGCCGACGTGTCACCGGAGCCGACCGACTCCGTTCTCGAGCTGGCCGACACCTCCAGCTCCAGGGAGACGGACGGCGCGTTGGTGGCGCCCACGCCCAGGTGCTGGCGGTAGGAGGGCGGCGGCGGGCCAAGTGATTCGTCCGGTTCGAACGTGCCGCCCTCCAGCTGCGGCGCAGCCGCCGTCAGCCGTGTCGGCTGCGCAGGCCGCGCCCACGGCGACGCGCCACCGACGATGGAGATGTCTAGCTTGCGCCGGCGGCGGCGGCGCGTTAGGCGCCAGCCGACGGCGGCGCCGAGCAGCGCCAGCAGCAGCAGCGGTGCCAGCACCAGCTCCGGCCAGCGCGCGCCGCCGGCCGCCGAGCGCGACACTCCGCCGACCGGCGCCGAGCCGTTACGGTCCGAGGAGGGTGGCGGCGCGCTCTCGGCGACCGGTCCTGGCGAGAGGACGGCGCCGTCAGCTGGTCCTGGCGAGAGGGCGGCGCCGTCAGCCGGCCCTGGCGAGAGGACGGCGCCGTCAGCCGGTCCTGGCGAGAGGGCGGCGCCGTCAGCCGGTCCTGGCGAGAGGGCGGCGCCGCCAGCCGGCCCTGGCGAGAGGACGGCGCCGTCAGCCGGTCCTGGCGAGAGGGCGGCGCCGTCAGCCGGTCCTGGCGAGAGGGTGGCGCCGGCGGCTGGTCCTGGCGAGAGGGCGGCGCCGTCAGCTGGTCCTGGCGAGAGGGCGGCGCCGTCAGCCGGCCCTGGCGAGAGGACGGCGCCGTCAGCCGGCCCTGGCGAGAGGACGGCGCCGTCAGCCGGTCCTGGCGAGAGGGCGGCGCCGTCAGCCGGCCCTGGCGAGAGGGTGGCGCCGTCAGACGGTCCTGGCGAGAGGACGGCGCCGTCAGCCGGTCCTGGCGAGAGGGCGGCGCCGTCAGCCGGTCCTGGCGAGAGGGTGGCGCCGGCGGCTGGTCCTGGCGAGAGGGCGGCGCCGTCAGCTGGTCCTGGCGAGAGGGCGGCGCCGTCAGCCGGCCCTGGCGAGAGGACGGCGCCGTCAGCCGGTCCTGGCGAGAGGGCGGCGCCGTCAGCCGGCCCTGGCGAGAGGGTGGCGCCGTCAGCCGGTCCTGGCGAGAGGGCGGCGCCGGCGGCTGGTCCTGGCGAGAGGGCGGCGCCGGCGACCAGCGGTGTGTGGTTCGACGGGTCAGCAGGGTTGGCCGGTACGAACGCCTGCGCTTTAAACCGGGGGGAGGGGGCTGGTTCTGCAGGGAGGGGACTGGCGACCGCAGCCACAAGAGAAGGTTCTGGACTGTCCGATGGAAGCGTGCTCACTGCGGCGTGTTGATCAACATACCCGTCAAGGGGATGCTGATGATCCGGCGAGGACACTGGTGACTCTGTCGTGCCGCTGTATGTTGAGCCCACGTGGTAGAATAACGCGTCCTCCACATCGCTTTCTGATGAACTCACACGGGACACAGACACCGTCACAGCCTCGAGTTCGTCTTCACCGGAAGGCTTAAAACTAAGATACTCAGGATGTCCCATCACGCTACCAAGCCAGTTGCCATAACCACTGCCGTAAACGAAGCCGGAGCCTCCTTCTGCCCATTTGTCACGTGTGTGCTCATCGCCCCCACTAAGCCGATACTGAACAGAGTTTGGCGACGTTTCAGACGACAGGCTGGCGCCGGTTGGAGCCCCAGAGTCGGTCAATACAATCAGATCTCCGGTGGCCGGTTTGTCGGACTGAGCAGATTCAGTGGCAGTGGTGAGTGGCGCGGAGGCCGTCGGAACAGTGTAGTCCTCCTCAATCCATCTTGTACCAAACGCCATCGTGGTGGCCTCGGCTCTGAGCTGGGCATCCGAGGTGCGCGTTTGGTTTGTTTGAGGGCGAGACTTGCCGCGACTGACAGCTTTACTGGCCGAGTCACCAAGGTCTTCCGCTCCAAAAGCGTGGCTCGCAAGATCTCCATGAATAATGAAATCATCAGACATGTTAGCAACGAGCGACACACCTTCAAGGGATCGAATGCTATACGGGAGATCATCTGGGCCTCGGTCAGCCTTCACTTTTCCTGTGTGGTGGAGTGCATTGACGGGACCTGAAGGTTTTTCCATGCTCTCGGCAAAGTTTCCAGACTTTCTGACATCACTGCCATGGTCGATAATACTTATATGAACAACACTCGAATTATTTGATTCCTGAGTAACAAAGGATGGATCTTCATAGTCCCGTGGGACAATAACGAGATCATCGGAGCCCTGCAAGGCACCAATGACCCCTTCCGCAGCATCCGTGACTGTAGAATGTCCGTCCTCACCGGTAACCATGCCGACACCTCCAGCTCGGACCGAAAGGTCATCAGTGGCGCGATCAGTGACATTCACTGCTACACGGGCAGATGCGCGGCTTTGAGAGACTTCGGTGCTGCGATTGACCAACGTATCAACCTTCGATGTGCCGGCGACGGTTTCCGCCAGGCGTTGTCCGAAACTCGATTCTTCGTTTTCCAAGGGAGAAAGAGCTGAGGGAGGAGTAAGCGCGTCGGGGATGAGACTTCTGCCAGTCCTCTGAAATAGCACGGGCGCGGACGGCGCACCCCACGTCGCGGCCATTGGGCTTGACTCGTCCTCTGGCGTCCCCGGGGTCGCTGCTCCGACAGCGCGGCGGGGCGACACGCTCAGCGAAGACTCGATGACGGGCACCGCCGTCACTGGCGCGAGTGGAGGCTCGTCGCTCTTGGCGGCCGGCCCGCTCAGCGAAGACTCGAGGACGGGCACCGCCGTCACTGGCGCGATTGGAGGCTCATCTCTCTCGGCGGCCGACGCTCTGCCGCGCTGCCTCCGCGGCGCAGGGAGCGCCGCGTCGCTGCTGATCAGGTGACCGTCACGTGCCGGCGGCGCGACGCGGTGTGGGACGTTCGCGACCGGCCGAGCCAGTGCCGGTCCAGCCGTCCTCGCAGGAGGCCCGCTCCAATGGCGCGCGTGAACCGCTGCGGCCGGACGCCAGCTGACGGTGTACACAGTCGAGGTCTGCACGCGTCGCACGCGCGTCAGAGACGCCGTTTCCGCTGGTGTCACTGCTGGAGCCCGCGCGGGACCCGGTGTCGGCCCAGTTAAGAGCGCCGTGTGTGGCACCCAGACGGCTGCGGGTGATGTTTCCGAGCCTGGATTCCATATAGGACCTCGCGCCAGCCAAGCCGCTGGTGGCTCGAGCATGATGCTGGCGGCGCGGTGGACAGGAGCAGGAACAGCAGGTGCTGGCGCTGGAGACGGGGCGACGATCCCCTCCAGTTTCTGGCCAGTGCAGCAGTTCAGCAGACAAGAGCAGCTGATGAGCCACACGGCCAGCGAAGAAGCCATTCTGGAAGGATGAGACGTGCTGTTGATGAATATATACTCATCACAATATCCATAATGGATGAAATCATTACGCACTGCAGGTCCGATACTAACCTATTGGACGAGGACCACGGTCCCAACAATTACCATGTGTGATCCTGCTATGTTATTTCAATTGTTTTGCAAAACTATACACAAAAACTTATGCTGGAGACAGAAACAGTGTGGGCAGAATGATGAACATAACTAGCAAGGCATGAGCATGGTAATGCTAACTAATGAGCAGGAATTACTACAGCTGTTTTTCCCACTTCTTCTATCTGCTAGCCACTGTTCTTATGACAGTCTGGTTAGCATTGTCCAGAGTTCCTTGTGGTGGACAAATGACATTGGATCAAGTCCAGTGTCACACATATGCAGAACTTTATAAACAACACATTAGGTGACAGATGTGACCTGTACCCTGTAGCACAAAAAATCACTACAGACATCAATACGGAAATACATCATGATAGCAATACTTCCATTGATGAGTCAACAATCTTTTTTTACTAGGCAACAATTTGCAACCTAATTTTGTGATATCACAAGCACAGCTACCTAATCATTACCAAACAGGAAACATTGATACACACTCTAGCAGAGCTTTTGTCCATCTCACAGCTTGACTTACAGTGACATAAAATGAGAGCAAAGTCCTTGAATTTTTCCATGTTAAAGTTTGAAGATTAATATGCTTTGACACCAAAAATATGCCAAGAAATAACCCTGCCTGATACTAGAGGAGCCACTCAAGAGGAGCTACAGCTGAAATGCAGATGTAAATCTGCAAAGTGTAAAATACAAAGGCACACAAAATAAAGAAAAAGGCTGACAGAAAAAGCAAGCTTGAAGGGGCATACATGGTCTATAATAAATCTGCTGTACTGGACAACTACTCAACATTGGAAGGCTTTACCTGGTGCTAGTGGAACCCTAACTTATGTGAGGTCAAATTGCATTGAATCTTAACTCCTTTTGCAAAAATATCCTTAGAACATTGACTCTTTGCACCAAGATTGGTAGTGATAGTACACCAAACTCTGAGCACTCATATTTACGATGTGCATGTTCTGAATTGCTGCTTACTTCTCCGCTCAAGTTTGAGATAACATGTATTTTTAATTTTAGAAGCATGGCAGGAAGTACATGATCCCAAGCATGACTTTGGCTGGCTACAGCCTGATATCGGGCATGCAGGAACCTACTGCCTGATCCCTTGTGGGACAGTTTGGCTTGGAAAAAAACATTTAACTGGAAGGCACCTAGCCATGAGCTAGTCCAGATATAACATAAATGAAATGCAATAGTCTGCCTGATGTGTGACAGCCCCGACTTGAACTGCTCGAATTCGGAGTCGCAAGCTCACATTACAAATACTTTAAAAGAAACGCCATTCCCAAGCTCTAAAGCAATAAATACCAGAGTATGCTCGGCACACCTGCACCACACATTCAACGCGCGACGCTTCACAACACCTACATGTCACAATACAAATTTGCTTTTGAATGACGCGCTACCGTTTACCGTGGGCGTCTAATGTTCAATATAAAATGCCAAAGGAAGTTGTGCTACCAAATGGAAGCACATACAGCAGCCGTTGGACCAGCGCTTAGATATTCGATTACCTTCGTTGTCCCTTGTACGTCATTTTGCCAGCAAAAAGGCCTTCGGTAAACAGTTAAAAACAAGTACAATTGGTGGGATCGCACGCTGTAGAAGCGACTGATTTTTGTCTCATCTGCGCGAAAGAACGTCTCATGCCATTTTGATCCGTTTATTCTCTGTATTGTGCGTGCCGTGGGCGGAGGGTGGCCGTGGTCAGCGGGAGCCGTCGTACGGCACATACCCAGCTGAGATTGAAAGGTATGGAGTTAGGGAAAATTGCATGACTTCTGTGCATCTTTTTATAATGACTCACGAAGCTTTTCTGTGAGGGAACAGATTTAAAGGGATGAAACGTTGTTTAGTCGTAAATCTCCTCATACGCCTGACAACAATAAGCACAGTTATTATGTCAATTTCATACCGAGGGCTCAGAAAATTGAGGTCTCTGAATTGTGTAGTGCAGCTTTACTTCTAGACACATTTTCAGAGCAACATCATTTATGTGGGGTGTCTTCTATTGATCTTTTAATGCCAACAATGATCAGAAAGTTTGAATGCTGGTGGTATATTCTGCATGCTGATAGCATGTTAATGATGCATCAAGGGCATCCTCTTTTGTATGCTTTTTATCATATGGTAGAAATGCTGTTGTAATGTTCACCTGATTTTAGTTTGGGACTGACATAGCATCATGATATGTAACCTGTTGGGCTTTTTTTTACTTGGGTACCTGTATTGCCGACGGTGGGGAGAGAGCTACGCTGGCTACGGGGTTCCTGTACTGCCATGATGGAGAAATGCTGTTAGGTATCAGCCGACGTAGTGACGTCACGGAAAATGGGTTTGCATCGATCGGGATTCTTTTGGGCCGACTGAAGGCTACAAGGCATTTGCTAGCGATATGATGTCACTGGTATTCGACTGGATATGTGACGTCACGGGTTGTGAGGCTTTAGGGCTCTTTTGGGTGCAATGAATGCCGTAAAGCATCACCTGACGATATGGCGTCGCTGGTATTCAATGAAACATCAGGCGCAACGGGCCTTATTCTATCTTTACCTTTCGTACCTGTCTGCTGCAAGCATTTGCGTGCCGAATAAAAGCTTGACCGAATCACCTGAATGTGTGACGTCACCAATCATCACTTGATACGAGTGCACTTAGGCCCCACGGCCGTGGTGTATCATGTTCCGTGAAATATCACTGGGTATCGTGACGCCAGTGATATTCGACTAAATATTGGTCGCAACACGTCAAGGTCCATTTTTAGCTTCGTACCTGTCTACTGCAAGCACTGGCGTGATGAATAAAAGCTACCAAATCACGTGAGTGTGTGACGTCACTGGTCATGCATTTTTATGGATCTTTGGGGGCCAACTGAGGGCCGTAAAGCATAACCTAATGATGTGACGTCACTGGCATTCAACTGTGTGTGATGTCACTTGTGATCAGATTTTACGGCCTCTTTTGGGCCGACGAAAGGTCATACGACATTAACTGAAGATGTGCCGTCACTGGTATCCGAATACAATTCAGGCGGCCATGGCCATGCTCCATCTTTACCTTTAGTACCTGTCCATTGCAAGTATTTGAATGCTGAAGGAAGGGTCTGCCGAATTACCTGAGTGTGTAACGTCACTAACCATTAACTTGTATAGACTGTTTTGAACCCACTGTAAGCCATACCACATCAGCTGACCATATGACGTCACCGGTTTTCGTCTAGGTGTCATGCGCAACAGGCCATGCTCTATCTTTGCCTTTCGTACCTGTTTACTGCAAGCATTCGCGTGTTATATCAAGGTGATGCTGAACCATCTGAGTGCGTGACGTCACTGGTCATGAGTTTATACAGGTTCGCTTGGGCAGCCCAATGCAACAAAGCATCATATCCTGTAAAGCGTCGCGGGATGATATGACGTCACTGGTATTCGACTCAACATCAGGCGCAACAGGCCATGTTCCATCTTTACCTTTCGTACCTGTCTACTGCAAGCATTCGCGTGTTATATCACGTCATTGGTTAAGAGTTCTTACGGGCTCTTTTCAACCCCCTATATGGTATAATGCTTCAGTTGACGATATGATGTCACTGGTGTTCGACTTAACATCAGGCACAACATGTCATATTCCATCTTTGCCTTTCGCACCTGTTAAAGTAGTGGCGAGCCTAATGATGGCTCTGCCGAATCACCTGAGTGCGTCATCATGAGTTTTTACAGGCTATTGTTGGCCGAGTGAAAGCCATTAGGCATCATCTAACGATATGTCGTCACTGGTAATCCACTAAGTGTGTGACGCCATTGGTCATGAGTTTTCCCGCGCCTTTTTGGGCCGACTTAAGGCCATGAGGCATCAGGTAACGATATGACGTCACTGGTATTCAATTAAGCATCAGATACAATATGTCATGTTTCATCTTTACCTTCCGCACCTATCTACTGCAAGTATTCGCGCGCCACATAAAGGCTCTGCCCAATCACCTGAGCGTGTGGTGTGACTGGTTATGAGTTTACGCGGGTTTACTCGGGCTGACTGAAGGACATCAAGCATCATCTGGCGATGTGACGTCACTGGTATTCAACTTAACACCAGGCGCGACAGGCCATGTTCGTCTTTACCTTTCGTACCTGTCTATTGTAAGCATTGACATGCTTAAGGGAAGCTCTGTGAAATCTCCTGAGTGTGTAATGTCACTGGTCATGAGTTCTTTACGGGCTGCTTTTTTGTACCTATAGGGTACAAGACATCAGTTGACGATATGACATCACTGGTATTTGACTTAATCTCAGGCGCAACAGGCCATGTTCCATCTTTGCCTTTCGCACCTCTATACTGCAAGTATTCGCGCGCTACATAAAGGCTCTGCCGAATCACCTGAGCATGTGGTGTAACTGGTCATGAGTTTACGCGGGCTTACTCGGGATGACTGAAGGACATCAAGCATCACCTGACCATATGACGTCACTGATATTCGGGCTGTGGCCCAGACTTATGGCCGCTAGGCGGCGCCCTTGATTATTATTTAGCCATCAGGGCATTCCGGACCGTAGCTGCTCAGGGGCGCATCCTGTGATGTCGGGCGGAATAGCTTTGCATATACGTCGGTTTGTGGGCTGGGAAAACCTTTGTTTTGTGTTTACGTTGGTTCAAAATTTTAGTCGTTGAAACAGCCCGTTGCGTTTGAAGTTGTTACTTAATGGTGCGCACAATAAAATTAGTGTGCTTAACTATGGTGCATCTCCCACCTCTGCTGCGGAACTCCGTAGCCGTAGGTGGCCAAGTGACCTCCTACCAACTGATGATCAGTGACGTCACATACTCAGGCGATTCGGCGGAGCCTTCATATAGCACGCGAATATTTGCAGCAGCCAGGTGCGAAAGGCAAATATGGAGCATGACCTGTTGCGCCTGATGTTTAGTCGAGCACCAGTAACGTCATGTCATCAGCTGATGCATTATAACCTAAAATGGGTTCAAAGGAGCCCGTAAAAAACTCGTGACCAGTGACGTCACACACTCAGGAGATTCGACGGAGCCTTCATTCAGCACGTCAGTGCCTTTAATAAGCAAGTACAAAAGGTAAAGAAAGTACGTGGCATGTTGGACCTGATGTTAAGTCGAATAACAGTGACGACATATCATCCTGTGATGCTTCACGGGAGGTGTTGCTTTGTGGCCTTGGGCGGCACAAGTGAATCCGTATGAACTCATGACCAGCGACGTCACCCACTCAGATGATTCGTCTGGAGTTTAGTTGATTACCAGTGACGTCATATCGTCAGCTGATGCTTGATGTCCGTCAGTCAGCCCGAGTAAACCTGCACAAACTCATGGCCAGTTACACCACACGCTCAGGCGAATCGACAGAGCCTTTTTGTAGTGCACGAATACTTGCAGTAGGCAGGTGCGAAAGATAAAGATGAAACATGGCTTATTGCAACTGATGTTAATTCGAATACAAGTGACGCCATAACGTTATCTGATGCCTAATGACCTGAACTCGGCCAAAAAAGGCCCGTAAAAGCTCATGACCAGTGACGTCACACACTCAGTGGATTACCAGTGACGTCATTTCGTTAGCTGATGCCTTATGGCTTTCGCTCAGCCAAAAATAGTTGGTAAAAATTCATGACCAGTGACGTCGCACACTCAGGTGACTCGGCAGAGCCATCATTTAACGCACCAATACTTTACAGGTACGAAAGGCAAAGATGGAACATGACCTGTTACGCCTCATGTTAAGTCGAACACCATTGACATCATGTCGTCAACTGATGCATGTTTCCTTATAGAGGGTTCCAAGGAGCCAGAAAAAACTCATGACCAGTAACGTTACACACCCAGGAGACTCGACAGAGCCTTCATTCAGCACGTCAATACTTGTAATAGGCGGGTACGAAAGGTAAAGATAGAACATGGCCTGTCGCGCCTGATGTTAAGTCGGACACCAGTGACGTCATATCATCAGCTGATGCATTATACCGTTTGGGGGTACAAAAGGTCCCGTAAAAAGCTCTTGACCAGTGACGTTACTTACTCAGGAGACTCGACAGAGCCTTCATTCAGCACGCCCATACTTCCAAGAGACAGGTACGAAAGGTAAAGATAGAACATGGCCTGTCGCGCCTGGAGTTTAGTCGAATACCAGTGACGTCATATCGTCAGCTGATGCTTGATGTCCTTCATTCAGCCAGAGTAAACCCGCGTTAACTCATAACTAGTTACACCACACGCTAAGGTAATTCGGCAGAGCCCCTGTGTCGCGCGAATACTTGCAGTAGATAGGTGCGAAAGGTACAGACGAAACATGGTTTAGATGGAGCATGGCCTGTTGCGGATGATGTCTAGTCGAAACCCAGTGACATCATATCGTCAGCTGATGCCTTATGGCCTATAGTAGGCTCAAAAGAGTGTGCAAATTAATGGCCAGTGACGTACACACTCAGGTAATTTGGCAGAGCCTTCCCCGGCAATGCTTGCAATGGACAGGTACCAAAGATAAAGGTGGAACATGGTCTGTCGCGCCCGAAGTTCATTCGAATACCAGTGACGTCACATCTTCAGTCATTGCCGTATGACCTTTCGTCGGCCCAAAAGAGGCCGTAAAACCTCATGACCAGCGACACGCACAGTCGAGTGCCAGCGACGTCACATCGTTAGCTGATGCTTTATGGTCTTTAGTTGGCCGCACAAAAAATCCGCCAATACTTGCAGCAGACATGTACGAAAGGTATAAATGGAGCATGACCTGTTGC